ATAAAATAGCTACTCTGTGGCCCAGTGGTAAGGAGTTGTCCTGCTGATTCAAAGGCAGGCAGTTTGAATCTACCTGCTGTTCCAAGGAAGATAGATGGACATTCTCCTCCTGTGTGATTTATAGCCTCTGAAAACTGCTGGAGTGTTAGCTATGAGCTGATTCTGACTCAATGACACATAGCAAAAACATTATGTGGGAAAGTATTTTATTAATATTTGGGGAAATTTTAAAGTCACTCTATTTCTGTTGCTATGTGCCATCGAGTCAGAACCAATTCATAGCTGACCCTCTAACGTGTTTTCAGAGGCTACAAATTGCACAGGAGGAGATTGCCTATCTTTTCTTCAAGGAGCAGACAGTCAATTTGAACTGCCTGCCTTTGGGCTGGCAGGGCAACTCCATATCTGTTAGACCACCAGAGCTCCCTTCTGTATTGTATAGTTTGTCCATCTTCTGTGCAATTACCTGCCTCTGAAAACCCAACAGAGGGTCAGCGATGGTTTGGCTTTGACTCTATGGTACAAAACAAAAAACATTATGTGCTGAGAATTCTCGTGGCATAGGCCATAGGAAGTCGTGCTGCTAAAACTAAAAGGGTCCAGTTAGACTCCACTTCTGCTCCTCAGGAGAAAGATGGGCAGACTCCTTCAGTGCAGTTGATAGCCTCTGAAAATTTGCCAGAGGTTCAGCTCCAACTCTACGAAAATAATTTTTCTGAGTTTTGATTATGTGGTAGTCACTAAACATCTCTTGTTTTAAATCCTCACAGTAGCTTAGCTAAGAAAACACATCTAAATTGTATGTGTAAGCTGCTAAATAACACATTTATCAGAAATTGTTTCTAATGCATTTATCACCATCATTTCTCCCACACGCCCTCAAATCCTAATGATCATCCCATCACCTGGTACATCAGAGAAATGCAGGTCAAGTTGCTCTGTCTCCTAAGTGTTAATCTACCCACTCAGTAATAATATTCTGCTCTTGAATTATAGATGAAAGGAGCCCTGGGAGTATGGTGAGCAAAGCATTTGTTTGCTAAACAAAAAGTCTGATGATGGTCAAACAGTCTGCTTCGATAAAGTTTTTAAAGCCTTGGCAGTTTTATTATCACCTAAGTCATTGCTCTGAGTTAGAATCAACTTGTTAGTAGTGAGGTTTTGTATTTTGGGGGGAGGTGGGCGGTGTATAGATACACACACACACACATACATACACATACTTTGATATAGAATGCCTTTATAATCTATGATTGCTTTAGGGACTTCTTTATGGACATTTAATATCATCAACAAATATTTTCTCTCCCTCCCTTCCTCTGTTCTCCCTCACCTTTCTTTTCCCACCTTCCCCATCCTTCCTCCCCTCTTCTCTCTCATTCTTTTCTCTCCCTGCGATGAACGGGAGTAGGATAGAGGAAGTGGTACCTCAGCACCAGGAGAGCAATGATCAGGACCAGGATTACAGCTCCTGTGAGGGTGAAGACTGCAATCATAAGGATTTGAGGGCCTGTGGGAGAAAAGACAGTGACAAATGCATTCATTAGAAACAATCTCTGAAAAGAGAACAAAAGATTATAACTCTTTTATATAACTGATATAGAATCTCAAAGATTCTAGTTATATAATAGAGTTACTGGGTGATACAAATGGTTAAACAAAAGGTTGGACGTTCAAGTCTACTTAGAGACAACCTTGAAAAAGGTCTGGAAATTTATTCCTCAAAATATCAGTAACTGAAAACTTTATGGAGCACAGTTTCATGGTGACACATACAGGGTTTTACTGTGAGTCATGGTTGACCAAACAACAACTAGTCATCAGTATAGTTTGTTTAATATAATTTGCATAAATATGAAGGGAGAGAATTGGGGGGCGAGGAAGGAAATAAAAGACTTTGAGGATTTTCATCTTTTATTATCCTTTCCATAAAAGGTAAAAAGTCTCATGTCCTCACTCTGAAACAAAGTGCTTAGAGTGTGCCCAGAGGAAGGGAGTTAATTTCAGCTACCCTACAGTCTGTACATTCTTAAAGCATCTGGATTGCATATTTGGACACTTTCAACTAAAGATCTGGTAAAAATTCTCAATCTCTCCCACTTTGACTCTAGATGTAGGAACGTGTATTTGAATAAAAGTCATGTTAACTGGTTTTCCTTGTATGCATATGGCTATTATCTATCCTATCACTCACAACATTGTATTTCAGGACAGAACTTGACTGACTTTTTACTATGAATGCAGCACCATTCTTCTTCTGGTTTTCATTCCCTGCATAGCATGTTGTTGTTGTTGTTGTTGTTATGTGCTGTTGAGTTACCTGCAACTCACAGTGACCCTATGTACAACAGCCCTAACCCCTGTTCTAATCTTATTTTTTCTGACACACTTACCCTCATGACCCCAGTTACTGAATCAACCCATCTTATTGAGGGTCTTCCTCTCCTGCGCTGTCCCTCCACCCTCCCAAGCATGATGTCCCTCTCCAAGGACTGATCCCACCTTGCAAAATGTCCATAATATGTCAGATGAAGTTTCAGAATGCTGTCCTCCAAGGAGCAGCCTGGTTTCACCCTCTCCAGAATGAATTTATTTATTCTCTTAGAAGTACTTTTCTCTAGCACCACAGCTCAAAGGCACCAATTCTCCTCCTATCATCCCTGTTCATTGTCCAGCTCTCTTTCTGATGCGTGACAAGTGATTGCAAAGACTTTGGCCTGTATCAGGTGCACCTTGGTCTCCAGACTGACATTGTTACTCTTCAGTACTTTGGAGAGGTCTCTGACAACAGGCTTTCCCAATGTGATTTGTCTTTTAATTTCCTGGCTGCTGGTACCAAGAACTTTGATTGTAGAGGCAAACAAACTGAAGCTGCCAACAATCTCAATCTCTTCACCATCCATCATGATGCTGCCAATTGGCCCAGTGGTGAGATTTTGTTTTCTTGATGTTGAGCCTCATATGATTATCTGATTCAAAGTGGCCAAAGCTGGTCCATCTCATCTCAATAATCCCTAGTATGTCAATGTTTATGTGTTCCATTTAATTTTAAACAATTTTCAGTTTTCCAACATTCAAACTACATTCATTCCATGTTATAATTATTAAATTATGTTTGTTATTGTTTTTCCTCATTTCAACTGACTTCCAATCTGGGCTCTGCCACTGCATTACTATAACTATTCTCTTTGTTTAGTGTTCATAGGGTTATTAAAAGCCTGTTATTTAGGAAGTAGATAGCCTATCCTGCTTCCTAGTCTGTCTTTATCAGGGAGCTCCACCAAAGCCTGTCCACCATGGCAAATCCCTAATGGCATTTGACACATCATTGACACAGCTTTCAGTATCACAGCAACCCTAAGTTATCTCACTACAGTAACTTGACAGACAAATAACAAACAAAGAAAACAAATAGATAAGTCTTGGAGAGGATGAAACCAGAGTGCTCTTTGGAGGCAAAAATGGTGAGGTTTCACCTCATATACTTTAGGCATGTTGCTTGGAGGGACTATTCCTTGGAGAGGGAAATAATGTTGGGAAGAGTGGAGGGTCTGTTAAGGAGAGGAAGACCCTCAACCAGGTGAACTGACACAACGACTACTTCAGTGGGTTCTTGTGTGTCAGGAAATGTGAGGATGGCACAGGATAGAACAGGGTTCAGATCTTTTGTTCATAGAGACGTTATGAGTCATACTTGACTCAACAGCACCTAACAACAACAGTCTATACATTCTTTTCTTCCTTAGAGGAATCATCAAAAGTTGTTATTGTTAAGTGTCATTAAATTTGCCCTGATTTATAACAATTCTATGTACAGAGGTCTCCTGATCTTTGTGGTCACTGTGTCATTCCACGTCATTGAGTCTTTCTCTCTTTTGCTGACCTTCAAGCATGTATCCTTTTCCAGGTACTGGCCTCTCCTGATAACATGACCAAAATCTCACCATCCTCACCTCTGGCAGTACTTTTTTCAAGGTATACTCATGGCATATATTCAATATTCTTTACCAATAAAGAGTTACAAGTAAAAAATCATTTTCCAACAAATAAATATATTTAGCAGTTGAAATCCGCTTGTACCTTCAAGACCAATATACCTTTCAGAGGACCCAAGGAAAAAAAGAACTGTTGGGGAACACTGGGGAGGAAGGGAGGGCCACTAACCAGGACAGATCGCCTAAGCCCCGGATAAGTGCAAGCCTTTAATACGGGGTAGAGAAAGCTCCCCTGTCTTTGGCTGTACCGGCTTGAGAAAACTCGCCACCTGGGAAGGTGGCTGCTCCACCTATTGAGCTGGGAGTGGTCTGCAAAAGGCTGAGGTTCTCCTAACCAATCCACATGTCCCACGTCTGTCAGCTCACCCTATCCTGTCTTCCTGTTTATATTCTTGTATATAAGGGTACTGCAGTCCCAAATAAAATTGAGCTGGATTGACTCTCTGATCCTCTCCCAGAGTGGTGTATCTTGGTCGTGAATAGCCCCATCAGGGTGTCACTTTTAAGTTGCTGGTGAACAGACAGAGACAAAGAACAATGATTTTTAAGTACAAATCACAGATAGAGGATGATTTAGAATATTCATTGTACTTTTGGGAAGTTTTCTAGGTTGTTGAGACATAGTCAGTGAAGATTGTAAATCATTTCACTTATTAGATAACTAGTACACAGGTACTAGAGAGCTCTGGTGGCCTAGTGGTAAGAAACTGAGCTGCAATCCCAAAGACACAAGGTTCAAATTCACCAGCTGTTCAGGGGGAGAAGAATGGCCAATCTCCTCATGTATAATTAACTGCCTTTTAAAATCCACTAGAAGATCAGCTATGAGTTGGTTCTTATGCTATGGTATACAACAGCAACAGTACATGGGCAGAGTTGTATAGGAGGAATAACATGAGAGGTCTTTGGAAGTGAACTGAGTCAATAAAAATTGGATTCAACCCTAGGAAGCATTGAAAACTATGACATTGGATTGCAGTCTGGTGAAAAACAAGAGTAGGCTGAGAAAGATAACCAGAATAATAAAACTGTACAAGGAAGTTATGGTTCGTGAAACAACTGGGCCCTACTAAAATAGGAAGTTATCCATTTCAAAGAGGAAAAATGCAGTGAATTTTAAGGAATAGTTTGTATAAAATGCTGGAAGGTCGATGTGTTGCTAAACACTGTGACACTGATGTGCCAAATGCGATAATGGTTACCCATGGTGGGCAATGTTTGGTGGAGCTTCCTGATAAAAACAAACTTGGAAGCAGGAGAGGCATCTACTTCTGAAATGGCTTGCCTCCTGAAACTCTATGAACAGTGCTCAGGTCTTTCATTCATAGGGTGGCTATGAGTGCTCTACGACTTGATGGCACTTAACAACAACAAGTTTCTTCATTCAGCATGGGGCGGGGGGGAAGGAATAGAGAAACAACCAGAAAGTCTGGATCAAATAAGGCATAATTTAAAAATGAGGCAATGCAAAATACAAGCTGATGTTGAGAATTTGAAATGAAAAAACAAAAGAGTGCTGGAGAATCTCTCTGATATCACAGCAAAAGTAGCTGGAATAAGAATACATCCCTTACTTCTTGTTAGGTGTGGTTGAGTTGACTACGATTCACAGCAACCTTGTGAACAACAGATTGAAACCTTGCTGGATCCTGTGCCATCATCATGATCAAAATCATAATCATGTGTAAGTCCGTTCTCATAGTTGTATGTCAGTCCACCTGGTTGAGAGCCTTCCTTTCTTTTGCTGATCCTCTACTTTTCCAAACATTATATTCCACCCCCCCAAGACTGGCAACTCCTGACAACAGGAGGATTTATGAGACTTGTTCATAAGTACGTGTTCCTTTGCTCATTTTTTGAATAAAAAAGTTCTTTTTCTGTAGGATAAGCTATGTCAGAGCACAGGACCCATTTTTAAGATGATGTTGTTGTTACTTGCCTTCGAGTCTCCTGTGACCCATATTGATCCTATGTACAGCAGCACTGAACCCTGCCCTATCCTAAACCAGTCTCATTAATTCTGACACACCAACCCTCATTGACCCAGTCATTGTATCAATTAGTCTCATCCAGGGTCTTCCTCTTCTGTGCTGTCCCTCCACCCTTCCAAGCATATCATTCTCTAAAGATCAGTCTCTCCTGGACATATGCCCAAAGTATGTGAGACAGAGCTTCAACATCCTAGCCTCTAAGGAGAGACTTGGAGAGGTTTCATCCTTTCCAAGACTGACTTATTTTTTTTTTCTTGGCAGTCCATGGTATGTTCAAAGACTCTACTCCAACACCAAAATTTGAAGGCATCAATTCTTCCTCTGTAATCCTTAGTAATTGTCCAGCTAGCTCTCTGATGCATAGCAAGTAATTGTGAAGACCATGGCCTGGATTAGGCATACCTTAGTCTCTAAACTAACATCGTTGCTTTTCAGCACTCTGGTGAGGTCCCTGTCAGCAGATTTTCCTGGTTAAATTAGGAGAATGATGTTTTTAGTATTTAATCATAATGTCATCTTGGCATAGTATTAATTACATGTTACACAGCTAACTAAAAGGTCAGTAGTTCAAATCCACCAGTTGTCCTGTGGGAGAGATGAGTGGTCTCTTCCCATAAAGGGTTACAACCTTGAAAGCAGTTGAGCATTGGTGTGAGTCAGAATTACTCAATGTCAGTTGGTTACTTTGGTTTGGTTTCAGGTTATACCATTTACTGTACAGAGAAATAAGGTCTCACATTTACATACCTAGTAAATCTAAATTCAATAGAAAAACCAAAATTAAACAAATGAGGGGGAGAGGGAGCAACAACTAAAAACACAATGTAATTGTATATTGCATTTGTAAAGTCTTCTTTATCAGAAAATAAATTTCCTTGTAAGAAAGTTCATTAAGTTTATCTTACCTCGGTCTGGAATATCATTTGGAAGTTTATGGTTCTTCCAGATAAATGTAGGACTCACATCCACTTCTTTAGTACTATTTTTACGGGTGTCATAGCTTAAAAGAATTTTGTACTGTGAAAAGATATGGGGGGAGGGAAGGAAAAAAGATGAAAAGACTGTGTTGATCAACTTCTGGCAAGCTTGGCCATCCTGCCCAATGACAGTGGTGTTTCATAGTGAGACTTCTCAGTGAAACACCCAAGAGTTAACCTGGGTTCTGTTTCCTGGGCATCAGCATGAACATGGACCAGTAAGTTTTCTGTCTCTTTATAACTACAGACTGCCATTCTGATCCTTTAGGTCTCTGGAAAACTGGTTCCAGTATGTAATTCACAAATATTAAAACATAGGTCAAAAGAAATTAAATGACTAGCTGACAAGAGAAGGGCCAGTGTGTTCCACAATACTCAACTGTTGCTGAAAATGATCTGTAAGAAAATACAAAATCCACTGTATCATATCTGTACATGTCAAGTGGACTAGAGCAATTCTGTATTTAAGTTCCATCAATTATATAAATTTCTTATCATTTTCATCTATTTAGGGAGCTCCATCTATTTACTCTAGTGCACTTTCTGAAACAAGGCACTAATGAGGCACCTAAAACAAAAGATTATTTTTTCACATAATCTGCCAAAGTAATATTAATATAAGTTTTGTTTGTTTTGTGCTGTTGAGTCAAAACCAATGCACAGCTGACTCTTCAGCAGGTTTTCAGAGGCTGTAAATTGTCTGGGAGGAGATTACCCAGCTTTCTCCCAAGAGTCAGCTGGTAGATTTAAATCTCCTCTCTTTGGCAGGGCAGTGCAACCCACTAGGTCACTAGACACCCCCCTTGGAATGGAATGGAATGGAATGGAATGGAATGGAATGGAATGGAATGGAATGGAATGGAATGGAATAGAATAGAATAGAATAGAATAGAATAGAATAGAATAGGAGTTGAATATATAAGAATATAATATATGCTGTTCAGTATATGGGAGCTCTGTGATATAGTCACGGGGAGTTAAACTGTCAATACAAAAGCTACACTTCTCTGGCTGTTCAAATTTGCCAGCAGCTCATCGGGGAAAAGATGTGCAATCACCCCTCAATTACCCCAAATCTTACTGGAGGATCAACTCTGAGTTGGTTCTGACTCAATGGCAAAGAATGAGTGAGTGAAATTCACTTTATACTCAATTAGCATTGTAAGGATCATGAAAAATTATCATCCTTCTAAATTTATCATCATTCCCTCAAATGATTTACCATCATTCCCTCAAGTTGGTAAAACAGATAATTACTACCCTTTTTTGCCAAAGTTTCACATTTTTTCAGACTGTGTTCTTCCCTTAAGAATAGAATTTATAATTGCATTTATACTGAAAATAGAAAACATATACTTATTGAGTCTTAACTGATAACTGTCCCAGCTATAGAATATTTTCTCTCGATCCCCATGTTGTTTTAATAAGCAATCTGTTTTCTCCAAATATACACATAAAGTATACAGTTACTGATACAGCATTGTTGTTATGTTATTGTGTCAGAGCCAACCCCATAGCTGACCCTCATTCCCGTGGGTTTTCAGAAGTAATAATTGTATGAAACGAGATTGCTTATTCTTCTCCCACAGAGCAATTGGTAGATTTGAACTGCATGCCTTTGAGATTGCAGCACAGATTCTTAACACTAGCATTGTTAAGTGCCATCTAGTTGAGTACAGCTCACAATGTCCCTATGAACAAAAGATCTGAACCCTCTTCTATAGCTATTGCTGTTTCTCTAATGTTCATAGTTTCCAAAGGCATGTTGTTAAGGAAGTGGATGCCAATACTGTTTCCAATATATGAATAAAGCATCTCCTTATAACACTCCAATCTTACTAGCCCAGAAGCCAACTATATATGTCCATTCTGATTCTCATCTTTTATTTGCTTTTACATAAAATAACCCAGAAACACTAAAGGGCAGTCAATATTTTATAGTTAAGCAAAAAGATAACAAGAGTAGTACAAGTTCTTTAAAAAAAAGAAGAGTGTAGTTTTGTTTTAAAGTAGTAAGTCTAGCTTCATCACAATTTAAAAGCTAAAAAAATTGTGATAGTTATAAAAGTTGTAAAAGTGTATGTTTAAGATAATCTTTACTTAAGAGAATGAATCAAATTTAAAAAGAATGTGGACCACAGCCAGGCTAAGTGAAAGTTGAGAGCATTGTTCTTCCTGCTGTGTAAGCAGATCCAGGCCCTAGAAAGATTGGACTAGGTTATTGTTTTTGAAAAGTGTGCTACAAAAAAGGAGGGCCTGTTATAAGCCAGGTTACAAAGTAAGGATGGGGTAAGGGAAGGACATTTTCCAGAAACGAAATTTCTAGAGTACCATTCTATCATTTTCCCCCCCAAAATGGCTGGAAGAGAGAGTAAAGTCTCAAGATGAGCATCAAAGTACTGTCTCTGTGAGGGGGCGAGTCGCCTTGCTGGGGAGGAGGATGGCTAAGTTAGACCACCCACTCCCTTCCCAGCTAGGGACAAGGAAGTATAGTCCAGGGGATATGAAAGAAGCTGAATTCTCTAAGAGGTTTCTTCTAGAAACAGACAAGTCAGATTCTTCCTCTCATTTCAGCAAAGAAGTTATTTTAAAAGCACTTGGGAAGTTCCTGCTCCACCCCTTTGGTGGGAAGGCTCAGAGAAGGGAGTCATCAGTACAGCCACCTTCAAGGCTGTAACGGAATTCATGAAGATTGGAGACCCCATGGAAGTATATGAAGGCTGCCGCCACCACCAGGACATGAAAAGTCTGATGAAACTGGAACCATATGTCAGTCAATCTTTCCAGGAAAGAAGTGTTCAGGTATTTGAGCAGCATAAAGGCCAGCTCTGGTGATGTACATCACATCCATGAGAAAGAAGCAGCCCATTTGACCAGTCATGGTGGCTTTGACAAAAGCCCTTAGTGATAGTAAAGTGCATGGTGGGTACCACACCACTCAAGCCAAGTCCCAGGAACTCTTCTGCTCTTGTCTGCCAATGCTTTGGAGTGGCAAGTCTATCCCACTGAGCCACAATAGTGGCAGAAATGCCCAGGACACAGACAATGGAGAGGGAGATGAGACGTGGCTGTGGTGAGCAGTAGAAGGAGGAACAGAGCCACAGGACTAAGCTCCCCATAATGAGCAGAGCAATCCCTGAATAGTCCAGTTTGGAAAAAGTCCAAGAGGCTTTGAATGACAATAGATGGAGTGGAAGAAGAGTCAGGAGAAGCTGAGGCAGAGCACAGCACCTAGAAAGAGCATTCCAAAACCACCTTCTTCTGTAGTGGGGCCATGAAGTACATATTTGGTCTGAGAATGGTCAAGACTCTCAAAAAGCGACATTGCACAAAACCATGCAGATGAGTCCAGATGTTGCCAGTTTCTGTATGGATGAGGAAGACGCTCTTGAAGCAGGCCTAGAAAGAGGGCATGGGTGGTCTATGGCCATGCAGCAGGTCATTGTCCTTCAGCCAGTCAGGGAGTACATCATATGGGATGACTCTCCAGCATCCTTCCCAGTCCTTATACACAAACTCCTCCATCTTCTCTATGGTGTGGTGGGCTTGCAGAGGAAGTCTCCTCCTCCTCTTCCCGGGGCACAGGTCATGTCTGCTCACCTTCAGTTTTGGTTGGATTGACGATTGCCCATTTGCCCTTCTCTTTTTCCCACTTCAACCAGTTTCACGGTGTCAGTTTCCCTGTTACTGGCAGGCACCCCATTGCCCTGCACCGCTGTAGATACTTTGTGGAAAGACATTTGGCTGGGGCCTCAATACCATGTAGCTCCAGCTTGGGAAAAGGCACAGGCTTCTCAGCCTCAGGGGGCGGAGGTCTCCCTGTGGTGGTAGACAGGCCACACTGGCAGGCGAGTTCTGCTGGGGCCCGAAGTTCCCTTTGCTACATTCTGTGGCTTCAGAGGTGGCCTGTGGCGGAGTGGCCCCAGATCTTCAGCACCCATCCTGTGCCCTCACTGTCTCTTAAGAAGACATAATACTTCTGTTTCTTGCTCTATTTTCTTTTCTCCAATGTCTAAGATTCTTAGAAGGGGAATATCTCCAAGGTAGCCACTTCTTTGGAATAGTCCGATGCCTTCACTCCTCTATCAGGTGTAAACTTCAGGAGCTCAGTTCATTTTGGGCTTGTTCCAGTTTGCCTTTAGTCTGTTCCAGTTCAGCTTTCATTTTTAGGAAAAACAAGTTGATCACTGGGTCTCCCATTGTGGATCTCAGTTGGGGAACACTCAGCTGCTGGACTTGCTTGAGGTTCTGGATTTGAGTAGTACACTCTTGTATCTCTTGTTCCTTGGTTGCCAGTCCCATTACAAGGATGTTTTCCCTGTGTGCAGACTTTTGCTGTTGCTGCTTCAGTTTTTCTTCAGACTCTCTTAAGCTAGTTACATCATTAGAGTTAAGATCTGTGTACTTGCCCTCCAAAATTGCATATATCCTTCATACTGCTTCGATCTTAGAATTAACTCATCTCGAGTCATAACTTTGAAGTTTGTTTCACTCAGTCGAAACTTTTTGGAAAGAGGTTCTTCATTGGTCATCTTGAATCACAAGTTCCCCACGTGGTGTCGCTGCACCGCCTGTCCAAGTCCAGAACCCAGAGGCACTCTGGAGCTCACCCTCTGGGCCCACCCTGAGTCCCACGGCTGCTGGAGCGCAGAACCCAGAGGGGAAGGGTGTGCTAGCATGCTTGTTGAAGGCACAAGGTTTGAAGCCACTAACTAAAGGAGAACGATGGGCCATCTTCTCTGGTGCAATTTATTGCCTCTGAAAATCTGCAGCATAGTCAGCTATGGGTCGGCTCTGACTCAACAGCACACAACAGGCCACTTCTTATTGTTAGATGCCATCAAGTTAAGTATGATTCACAGTGACTGTATGAACAGCATATTTAAACCCTGTCCTGCCCTGGGCCATCCTCATCATCTCTAACATACTTGAGCCCACTGCTGCAGTCATTATGTCAGGCCATCTCATTGAGTTTTCTTCTCCTTCACTGGTCCTCCACCTTTCCAAACATAATATCTCTTTCCAAGGAATAGTCCTTCCTAACAACATGCTCAAAGCATGTGAGACAAAGCTTCTCTATCCTTGCCTCTCAGACACAGTCTGTTGCATTTTCCTGTAGGTACATCTGTTCTTTTGGCAGCCTATAGGATATTAACACTCTTATCCAATACCACAACTCAAAGGTATTAATTCTTCTGCCCTCTTTTTTTATTGTCTGGCTCTCAGATACATAGCAAATTATTTCAAAGACCATGACTTGAACCAGTTGCTTCTTAGTCCTTATACTGATATTATTACTCCTCAATAACTTGAAGAAGTCCCTGACCACAAACTGTCTTTTGATATCTTGACTACCAGTACCAATGGTGTTGATTATGAATCCAAGTAAGATGAAAGCACTGACAATTTCACTCTTTTCTCCAGTTATCATAATGTTGTCTAGTGGGAACTGACTCATAGCTGACCCTCCAGGAGATTTTCAGAGGCTGTAAATTGCACTGGAGGAGATTGCCTATCCTTCTCCAACAGAGCAACTGGGAGATTCGAACTACATGTCTTTGGGATTGCAGCACTAGACTATCAGAGCTCCCATAGTGATAAGCTTTTAATTTTAGCTCATTGGAGTGCCGGCTATGAATCAATTCCAACTCAACAGCATACAACAATAATAATATGCATTTATTAAATAGAGTAGTTATTCTGAATAAGAAGTTCCACAAGTTCAAAAAAGCTTAAGGATGATATCCCAAAGTGTCACATAATTTTAATAAGCTATATTCTAGATCTTAAACATATATCCTCCAATTACTTCACTATTACCTCTATTTGAGTAATCACATTTCCACTAGTCTTAATACAATAACATCACCCAAAGTTTCCGGTTAGGAGCCACATTTTAGAGTTAAACATACTTTTTTGGTATCCACAGTGGTATACAGAAGCACCATGGTATTGTCAATGTCACCACTGTCATCCAAAGTCACAGGACCCAGGTATCCTAGGGAAAAATCAGAGAGACTTTATGACTATCACTGGCTTCTTGTCTGAAGAAACTGGTTGGACCCAGAAAGAGGGAGTAAAACCAATTTTAAATTGCTCTATTTTAATGAGTTATTGACCCTCGTGATCTAGTCAAAGAGTAGCTGCGTTGTTTTTTGACACCAAGACCTCTCAAGGACATTTTTATCCGACACAATATTTATTTAGAAGGAATTTATTTTTTTTTTTTGCCTTTAGGATGACACCAAATGTAATTAGTCAATTAATTCTTCCTGATAATTAATGCCAAGATGATACAAAATGTATTTACTGAATGAATAGTAGAATGTTTGTTGTTAGGTGTTGTCAAGTTGAGTATGACTCACAGCAACCCTATGAACTACAGACCTGAATCGTGTGCTATCCTGTACCATCCTCACCATCTCTGAAATATGTGAGCCCTTTACTGCGGTCACTGTGCTAATCTATCTTTATGGGGTCTTACTTTCTTTTGCTGACCCTCCACCTCTCTAAGCCTGTGATAAAGTAGAAACTCTACCATCTTTTAAGGGAGCTCTGGTGGCGTAGTCCATAGGAAGTTGAGCTGCTAACCCAAAAGCCATGCCCCTCTGGAAGTTTGGATGCACCGGCAGCTCCACAGGAGGTAGATGGCAAGCTCTTGTGTAATTTATAGCCTCAGAAACCCACTAGAGGTTCAGCTATTTGTTCAGACTCATTGCTGTCAAGTTGGAACTAACTCATAGCTGGCCCTTTCATAGCCCTTTTCATAGCCGTAAATGAGTGACTGGTTATAACAACAACTCATTGCTTCTGAATAGGAATCAATTCATAGCTGACTCTTCAGTGATTTATCAGAGGCTCTAAAATGCATGGAAGAAGATTGACCATCTTTCTCCCTTAGAGCAGTTGGTGGATTTGAACTGCCCACCTCTATGTTGGCAGCACAACTCTCTACCCGCTTGGCTCCAGAGTTCCCTTACTGACTATAAAATGCTGAGAAAACTCTTCCCTAAGTACCATGATACAGAAACCATTACTGTCATAATTTTTCAATTACAAATAGGGAAATAGGAGATAGTATCTTTCCCCTATTGTACAACTCAACTAGACACAGAGAAATTTTTCCTGACACCAAGTCTTTAGGAATGGTTGACCGTTGTCATAGATGTAATAAAATTCGTTAAGAAAGCTCATAACGTGCCTGGCAAAACATGGAGCACAGAAAATGGTTATTATGTTGCTTGATCCTCCTTTCCTGCTTCCTCAGAGTAGGCATGACCTCTTCCTACACCTGTCATCAATGCAGACCCTCAGGTCATGGTACCACTCCCTAGGACCCAGGGAAGAAGGCTTATTCTGCAGTTGGTCTGTAGGACAGTTTCCCAGAGTGTTTAAGATTTAATAGCATCATATTTAGTAAAGTAGATAAGTTGGCAAAAATAAGGGAAATCCTCATGTTGTTGCTATTCTTAGGTACCATCGTCAGCTCCAACCCACAGCAACAACAACGAATCCCTGCCTGTTCCTGTGCCATCCTCATAATCTTTGCTGTTTTCAGGCTATTGTTGCAATCACTGGGTCAGTCCACCACATTGAGTGTTTCTCTATTTTTCACTGACCCTTTACTTTCCCAGGTATGACGTCTTTCTCCAAAGACTGGCCCCTCCTATTAATATGCCCAAAATTTATGAACAAAGTCTGTCTATTCTTGCTCCTGAGTAGCATTCTGCCACACTTCCAGAAAGGATTAACTAGCTTATTGCTGCTGCTGTTGCTTTTAGGTGGCAGGTACCTTCAAATGTGAGATTTCTGAAAGCATGAGCAAATTTGGAGGTAACTATCTTGTCTCCATTTTCAAGAAATATCTTCAGCATATGTCCAAATAGCAAGACTCCATCCATATAGGCAAGAGCGAAGTCATTTTGTGCCTAAGTGAGAAAAGAGAACATTTAAAGGGATTTTAGGGAAATTTGAAAAAGAGATAATGGAGAATTAGGGCAGTTATAGGGAGAATGTTAAAGGAAACTCTTGAGAAATCCTGTATTAGGTCAGAGGCTCTTTAGTATCTCCTTGTCATGATTCTGCCTTAAGATCAACAAACTATTACCTTCATCCTTCCCAGACGATAAAAAACAATGTCAATAAGAAGAGACAACATGCAACATTCTTCTAATTACTTTTTAGTAGTTATTGTTGGTAGTGTTGTTGTTATGTGCCACCAAGTTAACTGCAACTAATAGGGACCCTATGAACAATAGCCTTGAATCCTGCCCTATACTGAGCTAATCTGATTGTCTCAGACACACCTAACCCCATTGCTCCAGTTATTGTGTCAGTCCATCTTATCCAGGGCCTTCCTCACCTGTGCAGACCCTCAGCCCTTCCAAGCATGAGATCTTTCTTTAAGGAATGGTCCTTCCAGGCAACCTGCCCAAATTATGTGAGACAGAGCTTTAAAATCCTTGCCTTCTGTCTCTGAGACAGAGCTTTAAAATTCTTGCCTTCCAAGCAACAAATGCTGACGAGGTTGTAGAGACTGGAACCCTTATTCACTCTTGGTGGAAGTGTTAAATGGTGCAACCACTGTGGAAGGTGGTATGGCACTTTCTCAAAAAGTTACAAATAGAGATACTGTCTACCCAGAAATTCCACCTACTAGGAATATACCCCAAAGAGACCATAACTGCCACCCAAGCATACATATATGTATACCCATGTTTATCGTGGCTTTGTTCACAATAGCAAGGAGTTGGAAACAACCTAAGTGCCCAACAACAAAAGAATGGATAGAAAAGCTGTAATATATTCACACAATGGAAGACTACGCTGCATTGAAAAACAAGGAACTCATGCAATATTCTTCAAAATGGTTGACCCTGGGGGACATTATGCTGAGTGACAAATACTGCATGGTGCCACTGTTTTAAAACAGGACTGACATCGGGGTTGGGAGAGACTGAGAAAGATGGGATAAATAATGTATACTGCATTGAAACAGACAAGGGAGAAAACTGTTTAAAAGGGATATGTGATTAGGTATTTTTGTCATGACAGGAGTCCAGAGCAAAGGCTTCATAGTG